GCTAAGAGTAGCCACATCAACACTCTCAGGTATGAGCTTGTTCAGTTTCCGTGTGCATACACAGACAATAACTTGATAAGAATCCAATGACATAGGTCAGCCAATGTAATAGTAGTATAAATTCATGGGAGATTGAATGATGTCCTTGAACAATGTTTCTTGGAAGGGAAAGAATATTGATGAAATAATGCCATGCACTGTTAAATTTTGTTCTTTAGCCAAGAGAAGACATTCAGGAAGTTCTGAAAACACTAATTTCCTTAGTCACCAGGCCTATTCAGTGTTCACTGAAGTTTAAAATTGGCATTCAATACTATTTGTCTTCATAGAATAAATTGAAGCAGATTATAAAACAAAAACCTTTCAGTCTGCACTTTTCAGTGCCTACTGTTCATCATAAATTGGCATGAGTGAATTGTACATTGGTGTGAAAAAACATTTCAGTGAAATTTACCCTTTAGTTCCTATACATATGCCTTCTGCTTTGCTTCTTTAATTGATTGAAATTGAGAAAGATGGAAGTAAAATCAGGTTATTCTAAAAGTTCATTGGATAATTTGCACTAAATCAGGAATAAGTTCTGATTCCCACTTTTGGGGTAAAAGGTTTATGAAGTGTATTGCATTCAGATCTGATACTCAAAACAAAATCCCAAGGTCAGAATTTCTTAATTCTTAGTCACCCAGGTCAGTTATCCCAAAGGTGCTTTTTTCCAAGAGGCAACTGGACTTTGTTTTTCTTTGAAGACATTTCACTTCTCATCCAAGAAGTGTCTTCAACTCTGACTAAATGGTGAGGAATGGAAGGATTTATACTTGTTGCAGACAGCTAGTCATTTGCATTCTTTCTGAGAGTTGTTGAGGCCACTTGGAGGTTTATCTGTGTCCCCAGGGTCACCTGATCCAATTACATTTGGCCCGAGTTTTCTGAGAGAAACTGCCAATGATGCCCTATTTTTAAAGAAGGCAGGCCAGAAAATATTGCTTTTCAGTTATAGAACTGTGGAATAGCCTCTACCTAGGTTGGACCTTTTTATTCTTGCATTTTGGAAGCTGAGGAAAAGCTGCATTTTTCAGGGAGCTTGTGGAGAGTGATTGATAACCACTGTATTATTTCATTTTATTATCTACATTGATTAACATGTTATTTTTTGAGTGGCTGAGCCTTAATATACACCTGTTGCCTCTTAAAATCTCACTCCTTTCAACTCTCTTCAAAATGGGTTGAAATGTGTGTGCCCTTGCCAACTCTGGAGATCTTAGTACATAACTTTCTGCACTTTTCGGATGGTGAAAAAGATTTTTAAAAGTATTTCAGTAGTCACAAAATGTTTATTTTCCCCAAATTTAAGGGAATGCCTCAGGGCATCATAAAAGCAGCATACACATTCATGAGAGACAAAAATAGTAGTAGCTGCAATCCAGTTTCCTTTGGAAATGTGCCATCTGCCCTGAAAAAAGACATAGTTGTATCCTGGATAATTAAGTGCCTCACATTCTGCCAAAGTGGTATTGTATGGCTAATAATTCCCACTATGGCTATCATGTTGTGAGAATGACTATAATTTGCTCATAAAATGTTTGAATTTGTGTATTTGTCTAAAAAAGTTCTCTCATTGTAAAAGTGATCTCTGAGTGTTGATTGAAACCATGTTCAAGAATTAATCTGGAGCGTTCGTAACACATTTATTTCATTTATTCAGTGTGTGACTTCCTTGGTGAAAAGATAGCCTCTGTTTTGGGCATCAGTACACCAAAATACCAATATGCCATAGATGAATACTACAGAATGAAAAAAGAGGTATGCTTTTAAAAAAAATCCTTTTAACAGCATAGATATTGCAAAATGTTTTTCTGTAAATGAAACTATTAATTTAATTGCTTCACAGTAGGGATGTACACAGATGATGTTTGTTTCAAAACAGAAAGTACAGAGCGCTTGCAGCTACTGAATCATTCTGCATGAGCTGTGATTTGCCAGGAATAAAAGCCAGGGCATTTTGTTGTTCAGTTTAAGATGACACAAAATTCCCAGGCATCATGGAGGATTTATTGAGCAAGTAGGGCAAGGCTGGTTTCTTTTCCTGCAGCAGATATAAATGCAAGCATGTTCCATTTATCTGCTCCCCCTCCCATCCTTTTTCATTCTCCTCCATCCATTTAGCTGTTGCTAGGAATGCTCAGTGTGGCAGAGCTCACTGGCTCGCCCAACACCCATCTTTGCAATAATTTCCCTTTCTTCTCAACCTCTCCCCCCATTCCCAGTAATCATTGCTTTTTCCTATTCTTACTTCCCTTCCCCTCCAAACACTTCTGCTTAGAATGCTTAGTTGTATGCTTAGTTTGGGTATGACCCACAGCTATTGAACAGGTATAAACAGCTATTTTAAACCCAGAATGGTTTGCGCAGATGCTATTTTAGAGACACTTTCGATGTTGTCTGTGTTTCTGCTAACAGCCATGACAGTTGTATTATCATTTCATTCAATATTGGAATGTTTTTGGTTGAGCTGTGAAAGTGTTCCAATATTGTTTTATTTCATTTGTACCTACCTTTCTGCTTTGATAAACACTCAAGAGTAGCTAGTAACAGTTTAAAATCAAAAGGAAAATGCATATTAATTTAACATTTATAATAAAATGAATACTGAAAACATTTAAAAGTTAAAGGCACAATGAAAGAGAGGGCGTAATGGAATTCCTGCAGGAAGATGTTTCCTAGAGTAGGAACATTCCTTCCTATCTGCCAGAAGTACAGTTTTTTTTCAATGGCAGATGCATTTTCTCCTACAGATCTGAACCGGATAGATTCATTCAGTGAGGCCTCATATGAATTCTGTATCTTGTATCATCAATTAGCAGCCTAGCTTCAGACACATTTTCTGACCTAGAATTCTGGGCATTGTTTGAAAGAGCATTTACAATAGATTGCAACAGTGATGCATATTTTAAAGTATTTGATAGGATTAAAGCTTGTTGAGAAGTAACATGTTGTAAAATATATTGTTTCGTTTAGGAGGAAGAAGAGGAGGAAGAAAACAAATTGTCAGAGCAAGCAGAAAGGAGGTTTCAAGAACAACAGAAGCAGAGCCAAGAAGGAATGGCTATTCAGACAGCCCAGCCAAGGGATACAGCCTGTAGTACATTTATGAATCTCAACTTTGAAAGTGAAGCAGAGGATCAGTCTATTGTAGAAAGTAAACGAGATTTTGCTGTAGTGTCTGCTTAGAATGACATATAGTAACATTTCTTGAATTGTCAAACATTTGTTGGTCCTTTTTTGCATGTTTAATGGCATGTAATTTATTTTAAAATATGGCCATGAGAGAGTTATTAATATTAGTTTCTTCAGTCCATCTCTGTCTAATAAAGACCAATATATTTATTTCACCTATTATAAAATGGAAATAAATGGGTTCTATTTTGATCTTTCTATGCAGAAGTAAAAGGTCTTTCCTGAGCACCTGGTGCCTTCATGATAGTTATGGACTGATAACTATGCTTCTTTTTGTTGAAAAGTCTTTTGTTTTTATAATGTTACTTACTGAAAGCTAGGCGAAAATTTTAAACTTACTGGAAAATAAATACCTTTGTGATTTAGTTTAATTGCACTGCTGCACATGTTTATACGAATGTCCAGCAGCCATCTAATTCATGTGGTTTTGTTAATATTTGCTAAAGTAAATAATGCTCTTAAAATTTATCTAAAAATTGATAAAGGATAAGGTCTGACAAAGAAAGATCTACAGAGTATGTTGGTTGATATTAAATCTCAGGCTTTACAAAATGTGATAGAAAAGAATTCCACCATTCCAAAGAGTTGATGCTTAGTCTATATCAATATTAGATGAATTATTGTTGAATGTAAACACTGAGCAAAATTTTAAATGAATGTGCTGTTTGTGAAGTATGATGAATTATTAGTACTATATGTTCATAGTTTCATATATGTACCTATCACTATTTTGACCTTAAAAACTGAAGTCAATCACATGTAAAATTTAATGTCTCAGAAATATTTATTTTTAACAGGAAGAACCACCTATTATGACAATTGTGAATTTTCAAACTAAAAACCCGTTCTTCATCCTAAGAAACACTGAAAATCTACTGTAAATGGAAATTTTCTGTAGGACAATCCATAAAACATCTGCAACGTGAAATTTATAGAGATCACAGCTGAATGGATTGTGTGCATGTGGCATACGGGGATGTATCAGCAAAGTTGTTCTGCTCCCTAAGCACTTTTTGGATGTAATGACTTCAGTAGTTTACATTGCCCCTTGAGTCTCTTCTTAAACATATACATTTGTATAAATTTAGCTGGAAATTTAGAAATTTAAAAGAAACTGCAATACACTATATAGTACTAACAGAATACATGAAAATGGCAAAGACAGATAATATATTCTTTTGCCTTCATTGTCATCTGATTAGGAGAAATCTCATCTAGTAAATTGCTTATTCGGTATTTTTTAAAACGTTTGGACAGTTTTCTCTCAATATATGCATTCATTTTGGATTACAAAATGATACAGTTGTTGGCTATAAAATGTGTAACATAATTATTCAAATCACTGTACAGGATATAAAAAATTCTAAGGCAATGTAGTTAATAAACTGATTACCTTGCTCTAATTTTGGCTAGTCAGAAATGTTCCTACAATAATGAATAGAGAAGGGTTTGTTATGGGTTTTCTAATCATTGTGCCTTACTTTTTAATATTTTTTCAGAATTTGCAAATGAGATGTTTCTTTTCTTGTAAATGCATTAAATGTATATTTAATATAATTATAATGACAGTTGAGTCCATGGGTGTTGTTACAGGACTGACAATTGATGTTAGATATCTAATATTTGGAGCAAAACCAGTGCCATAATGTTCTTCCTAAGGAACTGATTACAAGATCTAATCTGCATTGAGTTTAGCAGGATTTAATCAGTTGCATAAATTAACAAGACAAATCTTTTAAAAAAATGAATTCTGTTTATTGCTATTACATATTTAGATACTCAAGGCTTCCAGTGTGTTTGTAAAACATGCTATACTCATTCTCCTAGCTTATTTATGCACCATCATTTTACATTTCATAACAGTGCTTTACCCAGTCTTAGATTTATTGTGTCACTCATCCTTAAAGCTTAGGGAAACCAAATTTTAGTTAGAATGTAATAAGCTCAAAACCGAGTTTAAAAAACTGCACCCAATACAGGTAAAATGACAATATATACCTGATTATTATCAAGCATTTTAACTTACCATGATTTGTAACTTTGGAATTTTATACCAACATTCGTTAACATGGGATCTAAAGAGATAAAGAGCCATATTGCTACAACTAAGTTCAACGCTTCTGAATGACAACTGGTTGGGGGAGACTGACTTATACACATAGCTGCTTAATATATTAGTCTTCTATGGAAATGACAGTGTTATTTGATTTTATCAATATGGCCAGCTGAGAGGTACTATTTACTTGTTAATTTCCAGAATTAGGTTGAACGTTTCTAATTACACACAGATTTTGGATTTTGTTTTAACAAAGATCATTCAACAGTCCAAACTGAACTATTTTAGAAATTTTCTAAAAGATATAACTTGATTAAATGCAGTATGGCTTGCTACTATAGGTTCAGAAATGATTTAAATAAACAATAATTTACCAACAGCTCTTTTTAACATTTAATAAGAGGTCTTAGTAAGCATTTTTTTTTTAAAATTCAAGTGAGGTTCATTTCATTTTTTTTAAAAAAAGATGTCCATCTGGAGTTAGATGGACTCTTCAGTGAAATGTGCAGTGAATTTGCTATTCAGCCTCAAGCAGTCACTGTATCACTTGGGCATATCTCCAATAACACAATCTATTACTGTTAAATCATGTATCAAGAAGATCTGTTGTACTGTCATTATCACTGGCCACAAGAACTTCTCTGTTTTCATAAGTCCAAAAGCCATTAAGATCAATTAAAATACTGGTGACTGTGTCTCCTTGACTACTATTGATTAAATCTTGAAGTGAAATCTTGTAAGGATCCTTAGGTTTTACCATATCAAAGATTTCATCCTAGAAAAAATAAAATTTAACAATTTACCTATAAAAGTCTCATGGTATAAGCTTATACGCCCATAAAAAAGTTATTTATTTAAACTAAATGTTCCTTTATACCTTTTTGTTCTTACGAACAATAGAAGATTACATAGCACAAATACAATGTGTACTAATATGCAATAAATAAGGAAGCTGTGGATGGAAATACATTAGCTGCATTTACAAGGTGACAAGAGATGATTTTTTGACTGCAGACCATTGAGATAACAGTTGAAAGCTTCTTAGGTAAATGCCTTAATTCATTAAAAGTATAAGTGATAAGAGGTATGACATAACCAGATTTGCAAATCTCAATAAATCTTATTGAGCTAATCTCAATAAAAGTAATTCAGCCTTTATGTGGAGGTGATTACACTGTTCTATTCTGCACTCGACAACTGGATTACTACAGTGCACTCTACACGAGTCTTCCCTTGACGACAATCCAGAAGCTACAAGTGTTACAAAATGAAACTGTGGAAGCAGTTAACAGGCACCTCTTTGTATGCTTATTGTCCTCACTGGTGTGTGAACTGAATTGGTTGCCAGTTGGTTTCTGAGTGCAGTTCAAGGTGCTTGTTGTTACCTACAAAGCCCTTTATGGCAGGAGGCCTGGATATCTGAGGAACCACCTTCTCCAGTAATTTCTGCTTCCCTGTATGTTTCTGGCAGAGTTGGTATGCTCCAGGTCCCTTAACCTATGTGGTTATATTTTTAATGGTTTTCACTATTTTTCATTTGTATTTGTAAGCTGCCCAGAATCTATGGGAGTGGGAAACTATAATAAATGTAAATAAATAATTACCTTAAATAGCAGATAGTATAAGTTCATACTGTTTTTTAAAAACATATTGTAATTCGAACAAATATAGCCACAGTGGAATCCCAAGAAAATTATTTGTGCTTGTGCAATAAAATCAAATCTATATAAAAATAAGATACGCATATTCCAGTATACAGTGTATGTAACCATATTGCTGATTATCAGAGAAGTTCTTCAAAAGTAAGTTCAGTAAGTATTGCACACAAATACATTTTGATTAGAATTCTAACCTTCACATCTTGAAAAGAAACTGGATCTTGTCCATGGATTTTCATTTGTTCTTGAATAGCCTACAAGGACAGAAATTAAGGAGATGAATAACATTTTAAAAATGAGGATGTACATAATGAAGTAAGCTTAATTAGAATTGCAATGGTTAGGCAATTTTGCAAAGATGCAAAAGTGCAAAGATATACAGGTACAAAATACTACAGTAATTGTGATGACAATTAACATTGACTTGACCATCCGACACAATATTTTACAATATTATATGTATAGTAAGCTAATATCAATCTGTTCATAATATTTAAGGGACCTAAATGTCCCACTACCAAGAGATTTAACTCAAAACACAACAAAATGAACTTGGAATTCAAAGCATACAATTAATGATTCTGGCCAGTATTAATTATTTGGAAAGCTGTGGATCTGTGATAGCTTTATCTAACACCTTTCAGGAACAGCATGGGTTACATTCAGGTCTTACACTATAAAATATGTGATCAATTTTACCAAGAGAAAAAAAGACTGACCATCTGCTCAATCTATTTGCAATCATTCCCAATTCTTAGTCCATTAAAAAAAAATAACTTAGAGCAGCATGTCTCATTGTTAAAATAAGCTTTTAGCTTCAAATTTTCAGCCTAACTATTATGTGTATGCTGGCAAAAAGAATAATTGGAAGATGAAGGGCCAAAGTGTTATTTATTACAGAGGAATTAATCTGCTTCATGCTGCTAAAAACCCACAGTTCCTGATGTAGTTTAAACCTGCAGAGCATTTATTATAAAGGCTTTGAAAAGGTTCCAGGTTTTGGGGGAGGTGATAGTAAAAATCTTTGACTGAATTAGCCTATTCTTGGATCATTCATAATGTATTTTTTTAGTTGTCACCAAATTGAAGGAACAATATTAGGTGACATGCTGGGGCGGATTGGTGGGGTGGGATAGATTTTACAAATAATGTTGCTTAATTACTTGAATCTTAATAAAATGTATTAATACGTTGTGAATTTAACAATTTAATGGTGAATTATCACCATTTCCAAAAGGATTGCTTCTTAATTAGGAATATTCTGTTTCCTATAAACAAGATTAAGTCAACTAACATTTATATTGATCTTGTGAAGGCTAGGATATTTCCAATCTTAATATTTACACTGATAGATCTCTTTAAAACTGTTGATTCAATCAGTGTAGTTTGTGAAGTATTTATTTTGCTGGGATTAGTAAGCATCATCTGTAATTTTTTAAAAAAATCTGAATTATTTCCCAGTCAAGTAAAATAAGACAGGGTAATTTAAATTTACAGTAAAAGCTAACATATAATTAGACAGTAATTTAAGCTCTTCTATCATGCCAGTAGCTAGAAAAATATTCTGTTAATCATTAGAGGTTATTAGCAATTCTTTCCTCAAAAAAGAAGTTGTGCTTATTAATTTTTTTAGAAAAACTCATATTTAATTACAAGCACAGCAATACAGTACTATAATGTAAGATGTTCTGAAAATAATTCTGGTTTTTTTAAATGTAAAATTTTAAATGTTTGTATTTTGACAAAAGCCTTGTAATAAATAGAGGTACTTTAAAATAATCACCAGCTGGTTTCTAAGCAAAGGCACAATGGTTACAACAACATATGTACAAAAGAATGACCTACCTTTACAAAAAGGGACTTACCCTAAAAAAATAATTAAGGGAAAAGACATTCAGGTATCCTTTGTTCTCTATATCAAGCAATTTGAAAATATACTGCAAAGCTGCAGGTTCCTTTCTGTTTTCTAATGCAAGTACAAAGTCCAAGTACGTCTTATAGTCCTAAAAGCAGATGCAATCATGTTTATTATAGTCCTCTTTTAAAATTGATTTTGCAAGCAAACCATAATTGATGACTATTTCCTTGTAGGAGAGCAGTTACTTTTTAGTGAAAGTCAGCATGAAATAGAAATGGCCTTTGAAGGGGAAAAAAGTGAACAGAAAATGGCTTTCTTAACTGGCTAAGCAACATCCACATAGATTTCTATCAATGCTACAAGGGAGCTTCTCAGCATTCAAATTAAAGAAATAGTAGATTAATCTATTGCTATTTGTCATTCCATTGATGAAAGTAAAGAGTTATTAAGTTAGAACAATTTTAAAAAACTGATTAGGAAACTTGCTATACTTTTTTTAGCATTTAAGAATCATTGTTAATGGCAATGATTGATTCTGCAGTTTCTACCAGATTCTAGTCTGGTATGAGCTTAGAATAAATTTTCTAGCAGTGAATGCAATTTTAAAAGTCCTAAAAAGCATGTTGTATGTCACAATCATTCTCTATAAGATGTGCTTCTGGAGTTAATAAGAATCCAAGTCCAAAACTCCATCTAGAAAATGAAAAGTATGGCATATATTAAAAGGAAATTCTATATTCTACTTTAGACACATTATGGTTGTGTATTAATGCCAGTTACTTTCAGATTATAAATTGTTCACTGTTCCTGGTTTTGGCAGAAAAAGAGAAATAATGAAGAACTCACTGTCCTCTCTTCACAATGAGATTTCTTCTTCTCATTAAGAATGCAAAGTCAGTTATGAAAAATACCATGTGTGGGTTTCAGCTGCCAGTGAAATGTGAATGTTTCTTTCATTCTATTTAGTTAATATGCATTTTACGTTACAATCTTAGAAACGACAGATTAAAAAACAAACATTCCTTCATGAAACACAGTATACTACTGCTATCTATGAGGGGGATACCATTTCTCCATCATAGGTCAGACACTCCTGGAAGACCCGATCCAAAAAGATGTTGGTTAATGTCCCTGTTCCATATCGAGACAATTCTTCTTTGCTAAGCATGCCGTTGTGATCTTTGTCAAGATTCAAGTATTGGCCTGCCAAGGATGGGAAAAGGGGGGAAATATGAAAGGGAGAAATGCATTTTCTGTACCATTTTACAGTTAAAGAAAATGAGAAAAGATGAATACAACTTGCTTATTATACAAATTTCATAGTATAAACATATGTGCCATAACATTTTAGTTTCTAGAGTAAAAAAACCTCTAATTTCCAACACATGAACTGAAAAGGAATTTTTGTTTTGATAAGTTTATAAAGATCTGTAATGAATGTTAGAAACCCATGTAATAAAACAAAAGGTGTAGGAGCACTGGTATTTATCAGTGAGAGTTCCTAGCCAGCAAGCTGTGTTCTGTTCAAGAAGCTACATTCCAAGATGTTCTATGTACAACCACATTTTAATCTGCTCTGGTTATTTGCACTCACTGAATATGTTCAGCCCTCATTAAGCTATTCAGGTAGTCTTCCCATTAAGATTTGTTTATACTTATGCAAAGTAGAGCCAATAGCATCCAAAGAAAAATTAACAGTAGGTTTGGTGGACATAACCTCAAGGTTTATTAGATTACTATATAAAAATTTCTGGTAAGGAATTATGTCAGGCTGACATATTCAAAGGAAAGGAGAGAAGCCACTACAGGCTGAAAGATAGATGTGCCTCTGCAAAATCTCCCTGGACCAAAAAGAAGTCATGAGATAACCCAAAAGCATTCCAGTTGGCTGCTCCTAATGAATAAATTTCAGAAATGGAAGATTTTTCCACTAGCTTAGGAGCTGAGTTGAAAGCGGCCTATTCCTCCTTTTGGGATTATAAAATAAAAGGAGACTAAAGACCATTACAACATATTACTAGAAATCAAAAGAGGCATCAAACTATATGTACCAATGACAACTCCCATACCAAGAAAAACAGATTACCCATAACAATAAGAGATCAATCCAAAAAGAGATCACTTTGGCGAAAAAACAAATCTGGTCATGTTGCCAACTTCAAAAGCCGATACAAAAATTTATGCCACCAGATAAAAACTGAATGCACTAATTATCACATTAAAGAGGAAAACCTTCTACGCACAAATTCCACCCGTGCTTTCTACAATTTTGTAAACAACAAACTAAAAGACTCGAGGTCCATTCCACCCCTGAAAGGACCTAATGGCAAAGACTGCAACGACGACACCATCAAAGCAAACCTCTTTAACACATTCTTTGGCTCAGTGTTTGTAAACAGCAATGGATCAAGCCCAGTACTTCCTAGTCAAACCACAGACAACTACAATGATCTAATACATATCGATTTTACAGAAGACATTGTTGAAAAAGCACTGCGCAATCTAAAACCATCTCTATTTATTGGACTGGACTGAATATGTGCCTACTTCTTAAAAAAGCTACCCACTGCCATAGCCGAACCTCTAAGCATAATCTTTGAAAAATCTTTCAGGACCAGCTCCTTGCCAAAACTATGGTCGCAAGCCACAGTCATCCCCATCTTCAAAAAGGGAGACCCCAGCCTTGTTGAAAATTACAGACCAATCTCCTTATGCTGCGTCACCTGTAAAGTCATGGAATCAATTATTAACCAATCCATTATCCTCCACTTAGAGACAAACAACCTACTCTCTAATAAACAATTTGGTTTCAGAAAAAAACTATCCTGTAATCTGCAACTCTTACACTGCAGAAACATATGGACTACACAACTCGATCAGGGCAAAGCAATAGACGCAATCTACATAGACTTCTGTAAAGCCTTTGATTAAGTGGTACACGACAAACTACTCCTAAAGCTAAAATCTTACCGTATCTCTGGACACCTACATAACTGGATAGAAGCATTCCTGTCAAATAGACAACAAATGGTCAAAATTGGGAGCGTCCTATCAAATTCTGTACCTGTCAACAGTGGTGTCCCCCAAGGCAATGTTTTAGGACCAACTCTCTTCATACTCTACATAAATGACCTCTGTGATCATATTAAGAGCAACTGCGTTCTCTTCGCTGATGATGCAAAGCTATTCAACACCACAGACAATACTACTACCCTCCAAAAAGACCGTGACTATGAATCAGAATGGTCAAACAAATGGCAACTTCAAATCTCAACAAATAAATGCTCTGTCTTACATATTGGCAAAAAAAATAAAAAAATAAAAAAAAATACAAGCGAAATAGTCAAGACCTTGTTGAGGATCCAAACTCTGTCAAGGACCTTGGAGTACTCATCTCTAATGATCTAAGTGCTAGAGCCCACTGTAACTACATAGCCAAAAAGGCATTAAGAGTTGTTAATCTAATCCTATGTAGCTTCTTCTCCGGTAATATCACACTACTAACTAGAGCATACAAAACATTTGCTAGACCTATACTTGAATACAGCTCATCAGTCTGGAACCCATATCATGTATCTGGTATTAACACAATTGAAAAAGTCCAGAAATATTTCACAAGAAGAGTTCTCCACTCCTACTCATTGCAGAATACCTTATGACACCAGACTTGAAACTCTAGATCTAGAAAACCTAGAACTATGCCGCCTCCAGTCCGATCTAAATATAGTATATAAAACCATACATTGCAATGTCCTACCTGCAAATGAATACTTCAGCTTTAATCATAACAATACAAGAGCACACAATAGATACAAACTCAAGGTTAACCGCACCAAACTTGATTGTAGAAAATACGACTTCAGCAACAGAGTGGTCAATGTTTGGAATGGTCTACATGACTCTGTGGTTTCTTCCCCAAACCCCAAAAACTTTAACCTTAGACTGTCTACTATTGACCTCACTCCCTTCCTAAGAGACCTGTAGGGGTGTGTGCATAAGTGCACCAGTTGTGCCTACCGTCCCTGTCCTATTGTTTCTTTTTATTTTTCTTATAAGTATCTATCTCATGTATTCAAAACTATGTTTATTCTTATACCTGTATCTTGTAAGCAATTGACAAATCAAATAAATAAATAAAAATAAATTGAGGACTACAGATGACTACCTGCAGCATACCTTTCGTTATGTAGAATCTGACAGTTAGATGCATTCTTTAACAAAGAAGAAAAAGCTAGGATTTCTACAAAGGTCTGATTTCTTTAAGTAGCTTAGTTCAAATTTGACAAAAATGACAAAAGTGTTTGGCATAAAGACAAAAGTGAGAAAAATACAAAAATAAGAAAGTAACAGACCCTTTTATCAATTTAAACACTTTCTTAAGTCTTCTTAAAGTTTTTCGCAGAAAATTCTTGAATCTTTAAATCTTCTAAGTTTCTTTTCACTTTACAATCCTGAAAGAGGTTTAACTCACAGAAAATAATCTTATCTTTGCCTAGGGAGGGAAAGGTGCTGCTCAGTCCTTGGCATCCTGCAGATAAATTATTTCTAAAAGTGATTAAGAAATAAGGATGGCTGACCATACTGTTCAGACAGACTGCACCACAGTCGTGAGTGTAGATAGAATTCAAGGACTCCTGGCTGCTCCATGAAAAGAGTGAAACTGAACAAAAATTACAACGGATGTATTGGAAATTAGAAAAAATGATACTGAGTAAGTTGCTACTGGTATTAACTTTTCTAAACTTCTGGCCTGATTATGGATTAGAAATATTTAATATGGAATATAAATGGAGCAAATGCTTTCTGTTGTTGTGGGGGGAAGAGGAAGACATGTTGGATATGTTCGCTATCTTAAGTTATTTGTAAAAAAAAGTAAAGGCAGGATACAAATAAATAAACAGGTCAAAATTGTGGGAATGTGAATGTAAAAACTAAAAAAAGAGACTTATAAGTTAAGGTCTTTTGTTGATGAACTGGTATTGGTTTTGGATGATTCTTTAAAGAATTTTGCATCATCAATGGTTACATTAAAAGAGTTTGATGCATTACCAGGTTCTAAGATTAATAAACAGAAGAAAAATGTTAAAAATATGAAAATATAAGATCAAATAATTGGTTTTAAGATTGAAAAAAGAAGGTAAAATATTTGAAAATCACTGACAAATTTGTACAGTATGTTATTTCAAAATAATTATATTAGGATGTGGAATGAAGTTTAAAAAGATATGTTAAGATAGGAAAAAGTACAACTGTTATTGTTGGAGATAATTTTTATAATTAAAATAAATGTTCTACTTAGAATGTTATTTTTGCAATAGTGGCGAATATCTGTAGCTCAGGTGTTGGATGAGGGTCACGGTTCATTTTCCAAACTTGTAGGTTGGTTTTCGAACGTTTCATTACCAGGTTGGGTAACATCTTTAGCAGAGTTTAGGGGTGACACTAATATCCCCTAAACTCTGCTGAAAATGTTGCTGAGTCTGGTAACAAAATATTTGGAAATAAACCCACAAGCTTGTAGAATGAATCTTCACTCTCAATGTAATATTTAAATCATGGAAAAGGATATATATCAATCTGTATGTCAAGGGGAAAAAATTTCAGGATATGGCTCATTCCCAAAGATTCTGCTACTAGTAGTAGCAGAAGGTTGAGCAAGGTACAAATGTAGTAAAAATCAGGACTTCTGGGAAATGGATGAAATTGTCCATTTTTCCCGCTAACTACATAGGTTTTGGTACAATAACAACCATTAATTCTAATGTAAATAGTATTAGTACTAGTAATTTATGAGGCCCTTCTTTGTGCCATGTAAATGGAAAGTACATGAAAAAAATGTAGTCCAAAATTATTTATGCATGCAACATACCATAAACCCTCAAAGCAGAAGGAGCAGAAAACCAATTTGTTTCTTGACTTTCTTTAGAAAGTTCTTCATCACGTAACTGAATGGATAAGGAAATATTAAGTTAACTATCAACAAATGTAAAGGACAAGTCAAAAGTCAAAAATATATTTTAAAAATGTCTACCTCTAATAAGTCATCTAGGAAGCTGCAGGCTAAAATATCCTGTATTTTTATTTTCCCTGGAAAAGAAAAAAATAATGCTTCTTTCACTAGTTAATGATTGTGATATTTTTAGGTTAAAGCAAGGTAACATCCAAATTATGCTGAAAGGAATTCAAAAGAAAAAAAATCAAATTTTGACCTATTAGTTCAGGTTGTGAAAAAGCAGAAATGTTTTAACATTAATGTTATAAATAAATAATTGACACTTCACATTGATTAAAATACTATAAAAGTATATTTCTATGTATTATATTTACCAAAATATTTATTTTTAACAAGAAAGAAAAAATATTTATGTCATTGAAATAAATTATGTTGTTTTCCTTATTAAGAGCCCCTAATATTGGTAAAATTTATTTAGCTTATTCATTTTTAATGTCTGTTTCCTTTTAAAGCATTCTCTACTATTCCTCCAATGCATTAAGCAGAGGGGAAATAATTCCATTCACCACTAGATTTCTGGGGTAGGGGAATAGTAAACGTCTATCCAATTTTAATGCAGTTTCTTTATTTGTAAAGGTGTAGAACAGAATGGGGAACACCTATGGTTATATTTGGACAAGTCAGAATTGGTGCTGAAATTAGGACAAAGATGCCAGTGAGACCTACTTGAAGGATTAATACAGCAATTACAATTTCATATTTTACTATTATCTACAGAGTCAAAACTACTGCAGGTAGGTATCACAGATGAAGGAACTTTCTTGAATATAGTTTATTCCATTGCTAGTTATAAATGCTGTTTATGCCAGTGTAACCTGAATCAGTCAATTCCTATGCAAATAAATACTTTTTCATTTACTTTTTCATTTTCATTTACTTCAATAAGAGAGCAAGCTCTGTATGCATGCAGAGCTCATTCCTAAGTGAAACAGCTGCTATTGTGATGGCAAATGGTAAAACTGAAGGCTTGGGTGTCATATCAAATTCTTGTAAATATCTGTACAGAAGGCACAACAGTCCAACTATTTCCCACAAACATCATCATCAATTTATAATTTGCCATCTCAAAGGTAACACAAAAATGTGAACAAGGAAATTTTCATTTATCAATGACAGCTTTAACACATAAAAAACATAATTGTGATCTGCATAAATTCAACCGACAATGATGATTTAGCTGTTACCGGTATATTGCTACAAAATTCATCAGACCAACAATTTACATGACTAATTAACTAAAATAAATCCATTCCTGGTTGAAAGTTTTAGTCAAAAACTAAATTAGTATCAATTTTTTCTTCCTACGAATGATATGTTTTCAGATTTATGAGCCTTCATTTCATTAGGAACGCCTTAATACAGCCAAGAAAAACTGGAAGCTTATGTTTCCAATTTTTACTATAGTGCCTTAAAAGAATAATGCCTTAATCTGGAGAAATCGAGTTAGTCTTCATAGTTTCAATAATCATAATTTATTGAAGAAAGATAGTTTCAATCTAGCATTATTAATTAGATTTAAAATTAATCACTGAACAGCAATCTTAACAACAATCTTTTAATTATTTCTTGATAGTTATAGAAGAAAAGAAAGGTGACTGGATCATATCAAACCATAATATATTCAAAACAGGCGTATAGTTTGGATTACGTTACTGAATTTGAATTTTTTTAAAAAGGAGTAATTTAAACCTACCAGTTCTAAGAGGATCTAAAAAGAAGAAAAATTTTCTGACAGCAGTGCATACATAAAATGAATAAAAGGATTTTTCTAAACCATCCAACTGTGGCAAAGTAGGAATGAGTTCCAATATATAATTTTCTAAATCCTAGAAAATTAAACAAGAAAATGTGTATTTATACCACAGATGTTATTATGATTAAATCTGAAATTTTTACATTTGTTCTATAGTTTATAGAAGGAACAGACTAAACTTTTTTTTCCCTTAAGTATTTTTATAGTTTCTGTATTTAAAGAAGGGTTGGCAACATCCAGGGGTGGGATTCAATTTTTTTAACAACTGGTTCTGTGGGCATGGCTTAGTTGGTGGGCGTGGCTTGGTGGTCATGTGACTGGGTGGACATGGCTTGGTGATTATGTTATTGGCTGGGCGTGGCCAACTCAATATCACTCACATCAAGGCACGTATCTCCTCGCCTGGCCTCTCATGACTGTGGGGATGCTGCAACAGTCGTAAGTGTGAAAAATGGTCATAAGTCACTTTTTCAGTGCCATTGTAACTTTGAATGGTCACTCCACACAAGTACCAGCAAAGGAGGGGAAAAAACTCCTGAGACATTCCTGAGACAGGAAGTCTAGTCCTGCCAAGAATATAACAAGGGTTAACGGAGAGGCAGTTTCTGTAAGCAACACCAGAATGTTTCCTTCTTGCCTTCCTTATAGGAATAGGCCAGTAATTTCTTCTAACAACCAGTTCTCTGAACTGCTTCAAATGTTAACAACCGGTTCTAGCGAATAGGTGCGAACTGGTAGAATCTCACCCCTGGTAACATCTCTTTATGGTCTTCTATTGACCCTCTATTGAAGTTAGAGCGGCACTGAAAAAAGTGACTTAAGACCCTTTTTCAACTTACAACCATTGCAGCATCCCTATGGTCATGTGATGAAGATATGGACATTTGGCAACTGGTTCGTGTGTATGATAGCTGCAGTGTCCCAGGGTCATCTGATTACCTTTTGTGACCTTCTGACAAGCAAAGTCAATGGGGAAGCCAGATTCACTTAACAGCCATGTTAAAAACTTAACAACTGCAAGGAGAAATGTCATAAAATTGGGCAAAACTCAATTAACAAGTGTGTTGCTTAGCAACAGAAACTTTGGATTTGATTGTAGTTGTTAGTTAAAAAATATCTGGCAATATAGGACTCCATTTGTGAGAGCTGTAGTGCAGTGTTATCCTGTTTGGTTCAAAAAAAGCTAAGTTAACTCTACAGTCAATGGAATGCAGAGTGGTCACATATTACAAATATCAGACTATAATTTTTGTCAATTGCTTACAAGATAATAGGTATAAGTAAAAACATACTTATGAATAAATGGATACATATAAGAAAAAATTAATTATAAAAAAAATTAATTAATGCTATGTGAACAATACTCTCCCATAAACAATTATATTACAATATGATTTTATTTGTTAATCAAATTTATACTGTCATAATTACAGTACTCCTGATGGCTTACTCGAATTTTTTTGATTATATATAAACAGCTGATTATTAAATATGTTCCCTTTAACTGCTCTTTTTGAATGAAGACAGACAACAGAAATCATTTCAGTTACATTAGATAACTATATTAATTATTATTCCTCACTTACTGATTCTCTGAGGTAACCTTGTCCAGCCACATCATATAAACTGAGACCTATTCTTGTCTGGTACAGCCATACTGTGAAACAGATTAAAAAATACCCAATGGATTTTTATACAAGTAAAATAAGATATAGTAAGAAATTGAAAGAACGTAAGATAGATATTGGCATTCACAGGTATTCCAACAACAGCAAACTAGATACTTCCTATTTAAATTAATTACAAATAAAAATTCAAAAATCTATTAAAGCAAATTCTACAAATTCAAATACCGTATGTATATATAGTTGCAGAGAACTGAATATTATCTGGCATTCTTATGTTTTAATTTACAAATCTCCTGAGATCCACTATGATTTCTGCTGTGCTTAACTGATGAGCATCCTGACTTTCCTTAAGGTATTTAAGTTACTCAAAAGACTGTTCACAAATTATAATTTTTTGTTATATATTCCATGCAAACCTATCACTGTGATCTGTACAACAAACAACAATAAATTTAACTCAATCTGTAAACAGAAAATTAGTCCTATATGAAGTATTACTCTCATCACTGGAAGATGTATGAGGCAAGATAAGAAGAGTATGGAAGGTTTTTAGAATACCTTCCAATCTTTTCATTCTTAGTAGTCATAAGAGGGATCTTCTTATGTTTATGGCTTTTGTTTTTTTATGTCTATCCTACATCTGATTTTTTTAATCTACTAAGGTCATAATTGATTTTTACTAAGCAATTGTTGTGATTCTAGCATGGGTACATATAATTGCAGAGTAGCTTTATTTATTTACTTATTTTTCAAATTTCTGAAGCATCCATCTCCCTCAGCTATCAACCATTGATAATGCTAACCTAACCCATTGGGTAGGAGAAAAAAAAAAGCATGAAACAGCTGAAAGAAGCAGATTTAATTATTTGATGCGTGAAACTCACTGGCACACGTACATTTTCTGAGAAGAGAAAAGAAACTACAGCTCTGTTGTATTTGTTGGTGGGTTTCTACGCTTCTCTTGTTGGTTCTGAGTATGTTTGCATGTAGATTCTATCAGTAAGCAGAAGGAGATTGCATATGCTCTGTCCTAGGTCACATGAGCAGATTAGAAGAGAGGACTTAGAATGACCCATTTTAATGTGTCCTCAGAGAGATATTTTTTCTGGAATTTTTCCTTGTAGCTTCTACCCATACCAAGACTGTATTCAATTTTTTTTTTTTTTGCTGGCTTCTGCCATCATCATCTTTTTCCAACATTTAATTGGATTTGAAATAATAAAATGAAAGTGTAAATAGTCACTATAATTTGCTATTACGATAATAGCCTAGTGAATGAACAGTATCAAGTTAGCAGTGATAATAATGAAATATAATAAGATAACGATGTGATTAATAATTATGATAAATGTAATGATTATATTAGATTATGATTAAAATAGAAAAAACATGGACAATACTGATTACCACTCATTTTGGTCTACTCATCCAATTCACACCCACTTTTAGGAAAATGGTTCTCCACAGAGTTTAAAACAGAATGCAGTCCCAAATCACTTCTACGTTATAGAATCTAATAATATAATCATTATTATAGAGCTTGTTACAATAGATCAAAAGGACTCACCTTTTCTCATTACATAATTGAAAAACTGCATGATAGATATTCTTCCATAGGGATCATTATGAAGTAATTTAGCAAAAATTTTAGCTGTGAAGAATTGCCTGTAAAACATAAATTTAGTACTGAAATTTTGAGGATTAATGTCTTTGCAGATTGAATGTCAGTTATATAATAAATAATAGAATAAATAAAGTAACAGAAATTTGTATTCTTGAATATATTTCTGATATTCTGATACAACTTGAGGGGAAAATTTATCAATACACTTAACTTCTTAGAACCATCTATCTGTACTTTTTACATTTTTTCTCACAATTTATGTAACTTGAAATTGTTCGTTCTATTTTCCTATCTTTGATAAATATTCAAATCCATTTTCTAAATAGATAATACAATCTATCAAATATTCACGGCTAATTACAAGTAGCCCTTGTATTTAGCAACCATTCAAATTATGACAACAGTGAATGACTAGCAGCAGCTTGAGGACCAGTCCTCAAGTTCTGGCTATCCTATTACTCCTGTGGTCACATGATTACAATCTGGATGCTTAGCAACAGCCTTGCACTTGTGATGGTTATAGTGTCCCTCACACGATCACAATCTGTAACATTCCCTGTTGGCTTCCCACAAGGAAGGAAATCAGCAAAGTTGCAAGTTGCTTGAGTAAGTCCTATCTACCCAGGCACCTTTGCACACTGTCCCCAAAGCTTAGCAATAGTAAAAGCACTTAGACTTATAGTTCACTTCCCAGTACTTTATAGCCCTCTCCAAGCAGTTTACAGAGTCATCATATTTCCCCCAACAATTTTGGTCTTCATTTTATCAACTTGATCCTGACAGTCTCAGGGTCAAACTCCAGACTGTGGAGAGAGTTAGCCTGCAATACTACACTCTAACCACTGTGCCACCAGACTCTCCAGCCTTGCTGAGCTTGTACTGCCCCATCACTCACATGTTCTCCACAAGTCTTTCTGTGGTCAAATAGTGCCTGTCTACTGCCTGTGCAACATCATACACATTGCCTGAGCATGGCTTGACTTCAGTGTCTTCCCAGCCAGTCATGCACCCTCTCCCACCCTTATTCGCCTGTTAGCAGCCATCCGAAGCCACCATGCTTGTGTTGTGTCTTCTCAGCCACCTGTGGATCTCTCTGCTTCTTCTCTCACCCTGCAGCAGCCACTTATCTGCCTGTGAATCACCTGAGATTTTCAACTTCCTACCACCTTTCCAACTGACTTTGGTTGTTGGAAACTGGCAGGAACTTCTGGGGAGACACTTGCTTAATGAAGCACAATTTTCATTTATATGACAATGGGGACTTCAGGGTTAGCCATTATTAAGTGAAGTGATCACATAGTACCACACTTTATAATTGCATTGCTTAGATGGAAATTCTAATCCTAACTGCTGCAGTAAATCAAGGACTACTTGTATTCAAATTCTCAGCTAACAAATATTGGCTGAATACAAGTACATGCGCAATCATGACAAACACACAATAAACATTATCATAAATGCTCCTTAAACATGTATCCATTAATATATAAGGTAATCCAGAATGCTCAACTAAACCATTCATTATTATCTTGTATATTCTAATGCATGCTTTCCTTTCATCATAAAACTTCATGACATTCAACAACTAATATTTATAATCACTTAAATTGTTCACCCTTTTAGCAGAGTTCTGCTAAAGAAGCTTCAGTCAGCATTCACATGTACTTTTGTCTTCTATTCATTAATAAACTATACATACATTCAATACATTTTCCCTTCC